TTTAATATAAATAATATATATTAGAAGTTTTATTTAATTTAAATTATTATTTATTAAATTATAAGAAAAATTCAATTTTGGTTTTTTTTGGACCAGACTGTATATAGGACTTGTTTGTCTGTTGCTTTTTTGTTTTTGAATACTGATATTATTCTATTGATTTCATGTTGGACTTGACAGATCGTATCTTTTTGGGGTTCTTGCTTCTTATCCAGACTCTTAGAAATCGTGTTGTTTCATAGGTTTTCATTCTGCAGACTAGTGCCTGGTCTATTCCAATCTCTACAGAATTGTTTTCTGGATCTTCCATACTGTTTATATTTAATAAAACTGATTTAAGATTATTAATTTGTAAGTTATTTGTCTTGTAGAATTCCCTCGCATCATCTAGGATCTCTTGCAGATTTGTTCTGAAGTGAGATATTCAGATGGTATCATCCATATATGCTATTGCTGCACTTCATAGCTTGAATATTTGGCTTTGATCTGATAAAACATCTGGCCTTCAGGTACATTGTACAATATATCTCATGTTTTTGTTTTCTTGGATTTTGCAGAGCAAAGAGTAATAAAAGATTTGTCAGAGGGGTGATAAAATAGTGTCCCTTTGGTTAATACCATCTTCTGCTGAAACTGTATTTGTAAGACCTTGATTTGTTATAACTTTAAAGCTTCTTCCTTGAAACAGTGTGATTAGCAAGTTTGACATTAGTGTGGGAATTTTAAGTCTGTTCAGAGCCTTGTGCAACATGTCAAGATTAACGGTGTCGAAGGCCTTGGCTGTGTCTTGAAACAAGACTCAGAGTTCTTTCTTTTGTTCTCTTGCCTCTTCACAAATATTATTGATTAGTTGAATTGGTTCTTGTGTGCTCTTTCCTAATAGTCCTGCAAAGTTTGATCCCCTAAGGATGTTTTTCTCCTTGAGTACTGTAAACAACTTGTTTGTAATCAATTTCATGAAGCATTTGTACATTGTTTCTATCAATGCAATTGGTCTTGTATTGCTAAGATCTGCCAACTAATCTTTTTTTTTTGATATTAGTTAGATGTTGCTTTGTTTCCATGATTTTGAGATGATATCTAGTGTAAAAGAAGTATAGAATAGGTTGACCAGAAATATCTTGTCTTAGGTCTTAAGCTTTTTGAGGGCTTTATAGAGGATACTTGAAGGGCCTGGTGCTTTATTGTTTAATAAGTTTTTGATCAAGAAGGTAATCAAACCACTAGTGATCTATATAGGATTTTATCATATATTGGTTCTTCCATATCTTATTGAAACTTTCAAAATTGGAGTTTCATTTTTTAAAAGCTTAGATATAGTATTTTTCTACCTGTTGCTTAATGTCTTGGGGTTGTATTGTAATGTATTTGGAGGGGCTATAGGATTGATCTGATGTGAAGTTATTCCCCTCCTTTTTTGATGATATTATAATTTTGTCAATTTTAATTGACAATTTATAATTGTCAATAAGGAAATAGATAATTCTTTTTTGATCACATTTGTAATCTAGGCATTACTGTGTCAAGACTAAGTTGATATCTTTAAGTTTGAGTTTGTTCTCTTCTCTTATACATATTTCCTTGACTATCAATATTATTTCTTTTATCTCTTTTTTCCAAGAGTCCCAGTTAATTTCTTCTATACTGGTTTGTTTGCTATAATCTTAAATGGGCCAAATTGTAGGTTGTAGCTTATTGAATTTGTATATAAGGCTTGAGATTTCTAAAGATCTTTGGCATCTTAGGAGGCCTTGGCAATGTTTAGAGTCTTGAGGATATATAAAGCTTTGCGATACTCTAAAAATTCTAATAAATGTGCTTTTTTCCTGGGTGTTTGCCTTTTGCCTTTGACTTTTTTTATTGTTAGGGTTGAGTATACTGAATTGATAAGAATATGTTCAAATTTTTTTCAGATGCTTTCTATCTGATTTGTTAATTCTTCAGTTAATATTGTTGTTATTGAGCTATCTACCTGCTAGCTGTTTGTTGTTTAGTTTAGGTTTAGATTTGTTTGACCTTTTTCTATGAGGTCTTGAATAGTAGTGTTAAGATTGCCAGCTTGGATTCTTTTTTTCACTTTTTTAGCAAATTTATTCCATTGGTCTGCAGTAAAGTCTTAATAGAGTATTATTGTTACTTTTCCTTTTTTCCTATAGGGTATATGATTTGTGTACTTGGTGGGATTGGCTGTAAAAAGCTTTAGGCTAAGTAGAGCATGGTCACTATTGATTATATTTGCAAAGTCTTCATTGATAAAAGAGTATATATTGTTTAAGGTGATGTCTGGTGAGATCCATATATAGTCTATTCTGTTATGAATGGATTTGCCAATCCAGGTTGGAGATAGGAGGTTTGCTTTCCAGACTTTATAGATATCTATAAAAGCCCATTTATTGAGAAAGTTAAACAGTTCTGCCTCTGGTTTCAAGGTGTTGGTAAGCTTGTTGTTGTGTAGTTGTCAATAGCCAGGTTGCTATTAGTATTGAAATCTCCTATAAGAATGATTTTGCTTTTGTTTTTGATTTCTGTTGTAATTAGTTGACATATTTTTTGTTGAAAGATATGACTTTCTTTTTTGTTGCTAGGCAGGTATATTTGAATAATAATAAGTTTGCTTTTTTTGAAAAATAGATGTGTCGCAATAATACGACTATCCTATCTGTCTACTTTTTTCATATTGTTAAAGTGAAAAATGAACTATATAAATAATGAGAAAAATCAAAGTAAAATGAAGTAGAATATAAAAAGTAATATGATAAATATGCAAAAGATATCTAGTATTTCTAGTATATTTTAGTATCTTTAAATATCTAGCAGGTATAATGAGTAATTATCAAGTACAATATAGACAACAAGTATAAAGTTGAATAATAAGTCCAAAGCTGGCTAAATTATATCAGGCATAAAAAGTATAAAAATATGGCAATCAAGGAGGATAGACATTGCATACTAAAAAGGTTATCTATCTTGAGAGTGTCACTAAACAAAGGAGTGACCATGCAGGAGGTTGGCAATTACGACACACGATCGACAGATCGACCTGCATCATTGTTAAACTCGAGCCAAATATATACATCTCTTTTGAGAAGAAACTATTCTCTAACATAGTACGGTATAAACAGAACAGAAGTAACAGACTGGCTGTATTTCACTTTAACAGTTTTGATAATAACTGTGAAATCGAACACTATTGACTACACTTATTACCCCCCCCCCCCGATTTCTATGTGACAGACATAACATACAGATATACATATGTTTATCACACACAGTAGCATAGAAACAAAATTGTATACGATAGTTGTTACCCCCAATCTACAATTTTATTTTATTTTTATTGTTGTTAATTTTTTTAGGTAGGTAGTAATGGAAATATCTGGAGTAATAAGGGACATCTTTTTAGGTGCTTCAGATGAGTTGGAAAAATATGAACCCAGGGAAATGGACCAAAATGTATTCAAGGCCTTAAAAAAAGCGTAACGAAAAAAATATAAAAGAAAGCTCGACTGAGTCCAGGGAAGTAATTGTACGATGCCTATCTGGAATTAGAGGAGTTAGTGATATCCTTATGCAAGTGTATTGATAGGATGTTAGTAGATACTCCAACCGGAAAAGTTTCTATGCCAGGGCCATTGGGAGAAGTAGAATGAAGATAGAACAGCATCAAGCACCGGATCGGTGGTGGTATGAAGAATCGATGGGATGCGACCTCTAATAAAAATAGGCTGCAATGTGTTTCATCAGTAACTATTCTGTCTCCCAGAAACCGTAATAGGTATCCGACAGAAGAATGAAACATGTTATCGGAAACGGACAGCGAGCTGAGAGAATGTGGGCAGGAACAGTACTCCCCATGTTCGAGATCGTCAAGGGAGCGATCGTGACATAGGAGAGAGAAAAAAGAGAAGTTAGTGCTCGAACCAGTCGCATGCGCCGAAACAGTACTAACAAACGAAACACATACTTTTAGCAGGAAGCCGGTCCCAAGAAGTGCCAATACCGGCATACTGAGAAAAGAAGGTGAGATCCCACCATCTAATGGCAACGAAAGAGGATTTAACAATAAGAAAATGAAAAGGGATGAAAAAAAAATAATGCTAGAACCGGGAGAAACCACAGATGTGAAGAGAACATGTACCTTCAACGAGATGTCAGTTCTGAGAAATAGCAATGTTGAAATGCCGAGGGACTATAAAGAGAATGCAACATGTACGAATAGGAAAGGAAGCAAGGACAAATTAACGCCCGAACTAACACCTGCAATGAAACCAGTGAACTGAATGGTGCACTTACTTGTGATGAGACACTGGCCCTGAAGGATAACAATATTGGAATGCTAAGCAATCATGAACGAATTCTAACAACCGAATGCAGCAAAGGGAGTTGTGATGTCAAGGAAATTTCAGACGAGGCCCTAGAGAAAACAAAAGGAATTTGTCGAAGTGAATTTCAGGAAGGGTTAACAAAGGGCGCGACTATAAAACCAATTAGTGAGAAATTAAGACCTACCAGCGAAAAGACACCAGTAGTGAGTGGTGATGACATCGGAGCGCCAAGCGATAGGATGAAAGCGGAGGCACCTGAAATTAGCAAGAAGGGTGTCAACACTATGGAAGCTATGGGAAAGTCGGAAACCTCAGACCAACCAAGAGAGCACCATGAAAGGAGGGAAGAAACTATCAATGAAAAGATGAGCCACGAAATCCAGGAGATAAAGTAACGTCAGTCACAAAAAACAACGATGCCAGAATGCCAATGAGTACGAACATGGGAACACTGAGAAAATGAAGATTTCTAGTTCCGCTATCTATTTAACCATCCTGGAGGAAGTATCAACGCTGGAGAAAGAGGAGGAGTTCATCATTGGAGAATCAAAAATGGATATGGACTGTCTAACAGAGGAAGAATGAGGAGAAGTAGCGAAACTCTTTGAGATGAAGAAAGAACTATTTGCAGGAAGTTTGGAGGAGCTTATCCAGACCAACATAATCCAGCACGAAATCGATACCAGTGACGTGAAACCTATAAAGCAAGCCTTTACAGGATGGCACCCAATGAACATGACTACATAAGGAACGAACTTACGAAGATGAAGAAGCAGGGACTTGTCATGGAATCTAGAAGCCCATGAACTTCTCCAATCGTAATAGTGCCGAAGAAGAACGGTGATACCGTTCGGGCTATGCAATGCTTTGGCTATGTTTCAAAGGTTGATAAACCGAGTGCTATACAACTACATCAGAAAATTTGTAGCTGTCTATTTGGACAACATTATTGTGTACTCGTTGACGTTCCCGGAACATATCAATCACTTGACCTGTATTTTTAAAGAGTTGAGACAGGCTTCGCTGAAGCTGAATGCAGAAAATACAAGTTCTTCTTGGTAAAATTTTTAGGGCATGAGGTAGGAAGGAATGGCATCCAGCCAGATGAAAATAAAATCATAAAAGTAAGAAACTTCCCAGCCCCAGGAAGTGCGAGACAGCTGCAAAGCTTTATTGATCTCTCTTTATACTATAGGAAGTTTATTCGTGGGTTTGCTACAATTGCCAAGCCCTTACACCAACTGTTGAAAAAAAATACAATATATGAGTGGGGAGACAAACAGCAGATAGCATTTGAGTTACTAAAAACATATCTGACAACAGCCCTAATTCTGCGGTATCTGGATTTTAAGAGGACATTTTATTTATACACTGATGCATCCGGGACAGGACTGGAAGCAGTGTTGATGCAGATCGATAAGGCAAAAAGGGAATATGTGATCGCATATGCCAGCAGGAGTTTGTCGAAAGTTGAGCGAAATTATGTAGCAACAGAGCAGGAATGCTTAGCGGTAATATGGGGAGTTAATTACTTTCACCATTATCTGGGTATGAAGTCATTTATAGTAGTCGCCGACCACACTGAACGAACGAAAGATCCACTCTATTAATATGACAACTCAACATGATACCTGAGGATAACATACCTTCCAAACCAATAACAGACAAGTCTATACTAAGTATAGGCACATA